AGAAGGTAACTTTACTTTAAGCAATACAAAACCTGATATTTTTAGAACTATTTTCAGGCAACTACGGTACCTACTTTACAGTTTGTTCCATGGATTTCTTTTGGAACTACTTAAAGAAAATGCAATCTCATCACAACCATATTCCACGAAATATATCCAACATACTAAAATTGAATGGATTCTAGCCAGTTTTACAGGATTTACAAACTTTTCATCATTTCTTTACAGTATTATTTTCAAAACTTTCAGAGTTAAAGGGCTCTTGAGATATCTTACTAAAAAAAAGTAAAGTGTAGTTATTTGCTTCTATCTTCAATTATGGTTATCTTTCAATCAAAGACTATTATTCAAGTTATATCTACTTATAACCAGCAAGTCAGTTCCCTACTTTTTAATACTATTGATGCTGACAAATCTGATGCTAGAATATATAAATCTGCTAGTTACTTAATTACTTAATAACTGAACCTTTTTAGAAGCTCTGTATTTTGGATTTCTGGATTTTATCAATTTGATTATACTGTATATAATATCTTAATGCCAAAACTGAGATGATATTGGGAGGTTTCAGATGTTATTGCTTTTGGTTTCCTCTCATGTATGCTTTTATTCATGTCTATTTCTCTCATCTATATATACTTCATGTATAAATGTTAATTGCCTCGGGATTGAGATATAAAAATATTTAAAAATGTATCTTAGAAACAACTCAAAAACACCAACTTTCAATATTATTTTATCATATATTTACAAAGCATTACATTTGATTAATAGTTACTGCACTAAATTTAATTAATCTAAGAAACTCAAGAAGGATATAATATTTTCACTTTCTCTATATTTTACTGCATTATATTTCATTGAATTATAGAAGCAAGCTTTGACAGCTGGCTACAAGAACCTTTCTCTAAAGAATCAATCTCTATTGTTTTAGAAATAACTATATCCCAAAGATAGAGAATACTGTGATCCATTTCAGGTTGTAGTTTTCTAACCAAAATATTAGAATATTTGTTGTTTCATTCACCTCTTCTTTGGGAATTCTTTTAATAGAAAATGGAATATCTATCTATCTATCTATCTATCTATCTATCTATCTATCTATCTATCTATCTATCTATCTAAATATAGATGAGACAACAATCGGTCTCATACTTTTCTGAAACTATGCTTAAGGAAACACTGGGGCCATATGTATTCAAAAATATCAATATAAAAATAATTTACTTTATAATCTATCTGGTTGTTACACGAGCAATACAATCAGTATGTAGGTGTGTAAAATATGGCAGTTATTCTTCTGAGAAACATAATAAATCAAGAACAAATAAACAAAAAGCACTCAGAACTCTTTTCTAGTATCTTAAGTAGACCAGTTTCTCTTCTCTCGTTTGCCATTGTGAAGCATAATCAGAATTATTCTGTAGACCACTCAATACTCTGACCTGAATCCCATTCCACTCAGCCATTTACCGTATTTTTCGGAGTATAAGATGAATCTGAGTATAAGGCACACCCAGGTTTTGAAGAGGCAATTTTTTTAAAGTAGGTAGGTAGATAGAGGGATAGAAAGGGAGAGAGAGAGTAGGGAGAGAGAGAGAGAGAGAGAGGGAGGGAGAGAGAGAGAAATACAGTAGGTAGGTAGGGAGAGTGAGTGTGTGTAGATAGATAGGTAGGTAGAGGGATAGAGAGAGAGAAATAGAGAGAGAGAGAAATATAGTAGATAGGTAGGGAGAGAGAGAGTAGGTAGATAGATAAAGGGATATATGGAGGGAGGGAGAGAGAGAGAGAGAAAGAGAGAGAAATACAGTAGGTAGATAGGGAGAGTGTAAATAGGTAGGTAGGGAGAGGGATAGAGAGAGAGAAATAGAGAGAGATAGAGAGAGAGAAATACAGTAGATAGGTTGGGAGAGAGAGAGAGTAGGTAGGTTGTTTGGTAGGTAGAGGGATAGAGAAAAATAGAGAGAAGGATAGTAGATAGGGAGAGAGAGAAGGTAGATAGATATATGTTTCCAGGTGTATTCATCCATGTACTGGAAAAGGAAATCTCTGACCTGTAGCACCTAAAACTTTCTTTCTGCTGGCACAGCACTTAACCAATGTAATTCTCATCAATCCCTCTAACTAAACAGCTTTCTGAAAGGGGAAAAAAAGTTTTTGCACTCTGCAAACCTCCCCAAAATGGCCTGTTTTTCACGAAAACAGGCCCCTTTTTTTTTAAAGGCATGAATAGCCTTGGGGGGGGGGGCTTGCAGAGTGCTCGGGGGGGGGGGCAAAAACAAGCAAAAAAATTGCATACATCACCCTATGTATGTGCTGCTGGGGGCTGGGGGACAAAAAGTGGGCTGTTTTTTGCTAATTTCTGCCCACTCCAGCCCCCAGGAGCTCTCTGAAAGTTTCTATAATGCTACGCATTGGTGAAGGGGCAGGGCTTCAGGAGGCAAAAAATGTTGTATTAGGTGTATAATACGCACCCTATTTTTCAGCCTCTTTTTAGAGGAAAAAAGGTGCAATGTTTTTTTAAAAATAATCTTTATTGGTTATACATTTTTTTAATAAGACATACAAATACAGCTTTAAACATACAAACTCTCCCCCCCTCCGGTGACAGTCATTCACAGCCCAACATTTTTTTCTTCCTCATTGTTTAGTCTCTAACCAGCATCTTCTTGTTACAAAATTCAGGGATCTATTACAATACCCACGTTCACTTTTAGTTCCCATTGTTAACAACTGCTATTTAACATTCCCAGTTTTAAGTCTCTGCTGTTCTCTTTGTTGCCCACATATACCATAGGTTCCAGCTAAGATAATGTTCCGTTTCTCATTTGTCCCTCAGCCAACCTGTCATTCTGTCCATTTCTGCACACTCATAAATCTTTTTAATTATGGCATCTTCCAATGGTAGAGTAGTAGATTTCCAAAATTGCACATAGGTTATTCTTGCGGCCACAATTATATGTAGGCTCAAACGCCATATAGATTTATTCATGTTTTCTGGTTTTATGCTTAGTAAAAAAGTCTCAGGTTTACATTCCATACTTGCCCCGGTAACCTCTTTTAGCCAGTTTTGAATCCTTCTCCAGTATTTCGTGGCCTCAATACAGGACCACCAAGTATGGTAGAATGTGCCATCCCTTCTTCCACATTTCCAACACAGTGGGGATAACCCAGGAAACATTTTGGCTAACCTTGTTGGGGGAAAGTGCCATCTATAAAACATCTTGTATATATTTTCTTTAAACGCTGTAGATATCATAAGTTTAACTCCATAGATCCCACCATTTACCCATTTCAATCTCATAGCCAAAATTTCTCTCCCATGCTATTAGAAGGCTTTTATCCATCTCTTCTTTAGCATCAGACAGGTGAAAAAATTGATAGATCTTCAACCACATTTTCTTATCTCCGCCAAACAAAATCTTATCCAACTCCTGAAGGTTTGGGTACATCCCAAACCATTTCTTATCGCTTTTAAACCTATTTCTAATCTGTAAATATTCCCACTATTCCAGATTCCTGCTCTGCTGCTCCAATTCCACCTTTGTTTTCATGTTGCCATCTTCTGTCATAATGTCTTTATATATTATGTTTTTTGCCCAATTAAATATACTGGGATGCGTTAAGGCCTCCAACGGTGCCAACCAACACGGAACCCTAAGATAGTACTTTTTCCTCATCTTTTCCCACACACCCATCAAAATCTTCCGAATATAATGTCCCATGAAGTACCTATGGGGGGTATCTCTTTCTTGCCATAGGGAGGCGTCAAAAGGTGTGTCTTATACTCCAAAAATACAGTATTTTCTGATAGAACTGTGTTCCATAGTGGAAAAGAGCTTTTAAAGTAGTTTTGCAAAGAAGACAAACTTAAATTGAGACAAAAATTATTTGTGATAACCTTTTCTCCAAAAGTACCAAAGCTATACCTGTCTATCTTCTGATTCTATTTTTTTACCCATGCTTATAGCTAAGATTAAATTATAGGCAATGTTTCTAAACTTCTCCTTTTTTTAAAAAAATGTTTTTGTTAGTATCTTATTTGAAATCTTGTATTCATTTAAGATTCAAGCAATATTACTTGTAAAATAAGTTGATTTAAATACTATCTTAAAGACTCCTAAAAACAATTAACAAAATATTACAAAACAAAATCATTGTCAGATTAGATAAAACAGGAACAGGTTTTAAGAAAATATTATGTTTGTGTGTTTGTTTGTTTGTCTGTGTGTGTGTACCTACATATGCATGCACACATGCACATAGACTTTATTTGAGAGATATTGGGGTTATAGTAATTTATTTTCTTTCCATGCAAATGTTGTCAAATCGAACCTTTAAAAATTGTATTGAAAAGGACATTACAAAAATAGACCGAATCCCTCTGCCTTTGCTCCTACAATTCAAACTATGAAATTATTTTACCTTCTTACAACTTTTATGCAATGTGTCATATGAACATTATCTTCCAACTATGGAATGGATCTATTCCATTCGTTAGCTGGACCTATTAGTTTTACAGGTAATTCTCGAATTGCACTTAGAATTTTGGATGTTAAGCGATATGGTCGTTAAGCAAGTCATCACATGACGGGACCCTATTTTGACACCATTTTTGAATTATACACTTGTTAATTAAATCTGTAAATGCTGGAAGCAGGTTGGGAAGGTCACAAATCGGCAAACATCATAAATGCAAGTCAGTGGCCAGGTCCCTGAATTATGATCACATGATCATTTCAATGGTGGGACAGGTACAATTTCAAGGATGGGTTATAAGATACTTTTTCCCATGCCAGCATAACTTCAAATCATTATTAAATGAATGGTCATACTTATGACAGAAATCAAATGCTTTCTACAATACGTTAAAAAAAATGTGATAATGTGAGCATCTAATTTCTCTTAATCTATCTGATTTTTAATATTTCAATACTGTGCCTCGCCTTTGTATTGCATGTTGCCTTGGCACCGTAAATAAGTATGAAAAAATCTCCTACCTGCTGCATCAATCTGCTGCTCCGTTTCTGAGGTTGGTACATGAGCCAAGTATATAAAACTGGATCAATATTAATGGTTAATCCCTGCATGCTGGCCAAAAGCACTGCTCCTACATAAGAACAAGTACAAAACAAAAGTAATGAGATTAACACAGCCATGCTGAAAACATTTGGAATATTTAATGTTATGTTTAGAGGTCCAGGCCAAACACAGCTACCTCTTTTGAATACAGCCTGGTTGCAAAGCGTAGGAAACTATATTACATGCTCTCAAGACAATCAGGCCTACACAATATCTGAAGTGATTGTTTATGTTTTCAAAATACATTAATGTATCTAGAAAAAAGTGCTTCATAGAAATATAATATGAAACTAGAGCAGGGGCCACCAAGTTTTCGGACCATAGGGACCACTACATTAATAATTTTAAATCCCATGGACCACTAACATTAATTTTTTAAAAAGATAAATAGTATTTAGTGCAATATAAAAAATGAAAATAATTTTTCTATGGACCACCAAAATTTTCTCGCGGACCACCAGTTGGTGACCACTGATCTAGAGGGGAGGGGAGAGAAGGGAAGGTAATGCTACCCAAAGGTTTTACAAATGTATAAGCTGTTTCTGTTAGGTAATATTCAAACGTAATAAAATAACAAATGGGATTAAGAGCATCCTATTATTTATTCAGCATTTACTTTCCTGTATTTTTAATTTTTGATATTGAAGTTCCATGATGAAAGGGCTGGCATATTTTAATTTATTTTAAGTTTTCAAAAAAAGAGTATTTTAAACTTATTTTGACTTTTTAAAATTTTAACTTTTTTAAAATCTTAACCATTGCCCTATTTTTAAGGTTTTTGAATATTTTGCAAGAATAAAATGGAAATAAAAACATTAAGAATAAGAATTACATAAATAGAAATGATTTTAAAGTCTATTTCAGCACTTCTCAAAGCTAAAATGAAAAGCCAAGGTTTGGCACATCTCAACAGTGCAGACTACTCTAGAGACTACTTCAGAACACCAAAGCCACTTCATTGCTTTTATCCATGAGTTATATAGTTTCTTTACTTAGCAACCTCTCTGTTTCAAAATCCAAACAAATCCAAGAGCTATCATCTCTGTAATGCTGCACAGTGACCTGGGGAGTATCCAATCCTATGGAGACTTCTGCAATACCGTTTTATTGAACTAGATCTCTGCCAATCACAGTGAGCAGCAAAACTCAGTTTGGTAAAATATATTAAGGTACAATAGATAATAAATTTCATTTTTATATTTTCGTAACTTTTTCAGAATGACATCTTTTTCAGAAAATTATTTTACAGCTTGAAAGAGAGATCCCTTTTGAAAACCGGTGATAGGATACAAATTCAGAATAGAATAATTGAGTTTAAACCATAGAAGTTGTTTCCAACATTTGCTAAATTAGCAAATTTCTTTTACTTAATCCTAGCTTCCAAAATATTTTGTAAGGGCCCTTAGAAATGTTCATGTATATCAAAAGAGAAAAATATAAGTTCTAGATTTTAGTGACATAGTAGCAGAAGTGGTATACAGCAGGTTCTGACCAGTTCTAGAGAATTGGTAGCGGAAATTTTGAGTAGTTCGGAGAACCGGTAAATACCATCTCTGACTGGCCCCACCCCCATCTATTCTCTGCCTCCCGAATCCCAGCAAGATTTGGGAGGAAATGGGGTTTTTGCACTAACCTTCCCCTGGAATGGGAAGGGAATAGAGATTTTGTAGTATCCTTTCCTTGGAGTGGGATGGGAATGAAGATTTTACAGTATCCTTCCCCTACCACACCCACCATGCCACGCACACCAAGCCACACCCACAGAACATGTAGTAAAAAAAATTGAATCCCACCACTGCATAGTAGGTATAAGTGTTTATATTTTCTACTGTCATTGTTGTTTTGAGCAACAATATTTTTTAATATTAATATTAATATTTTTTAAAATGGAGATACATGATTTTGTGAACATCTCTATTCATAGCTTCACATTCTTTCATATTGATATGATCCAGAAGAGAGGGTCATGGATAAAATACTAATCACATTGCCAGGCTTTCTAATCAAGAAAGCAAATTCCCAACACAAAGCAACATTTTAAAAGGTCTATGCTGGAATAGAAAAGGCAGACAACATCAAAACTCATCTACCATATATCTTAAAACTTGCTTGTTGATACTGATCCTGAAGTATAAAGTTAAAGGATGATACCTTTTTTGGCACCATGTATTTTACAGTCTCTGAGTTTTAAGCAGCTTCATAAATTAGATGAACTCTGGAGACTCAAATAAATTATCACCTTGAGTTTAACGATTTCGCAATCTCACAATAAATAAATATTGTGGGATTTCTGATTCAAACTGATGAAGTCTTGGCTCATAACACACCAGATTTAACTGTGATCGAAAAGAAGAAAAAGTGGATAATTGATGGGGCAATACCAGGTGATAATAGAATCAGAGAAGATCACAATTGGCCACAGTAGACCTCATGGTTATCAGCACACTGAGTGCCATACCAAAAAATCTTGGATGCCACTTAGAAAATCTGTGCATTGACAAAAATTTCCACTGTGAACTAGAAATGGCTGCACTAGTTGGATTCTCACATTACAACCTCCTAGGTTCTTGGATGCAGATGAAGGCTAATACCAGCTAAAGTAGTGGTCACCAACCAGTAGTCCACGGAAAAAATATTTGCATTTTGGTGGCCCACAGAAAAATTATTTGCATTTTTATATTGCACTAAATACTATTTATCTTTTTAAAAATTCATATTAGTGATCCGCAAGATTTAAAATTATGAATTTAGTAGTCCCTGAGGTCCGAAAGGTTGGTGAATTGGAAGCTGTGATTCCACATTTTTGTATATATAATAATTTATAGCTTTACTTACCTGTAATTAACATTCTGCAACAATGCCTCTAATATTATTAAACAATAACATCTGCCTATCCCAGGTCTTTAGGAAATATTCAATAGGATAAAAAATACCCAAGCCAATCTAAACATCTGACTAACTGAAAATTAAAAGTTGACTGGTATTTAATTATATTTAATTATATTTAATTATAGGTAAGGCACATGCAATAATGAATACATGTTCATTTTTTTTAGTACTAACATAACCATGCAACATCCTATGAAAAGTAAACTTTTTTTACATGATAGCATTGCTGTCAGAAGAATATAGATGCAGCAATTAGATTTTTTTATATATGAAATAAGTTTATGTTAAACCTCAGTAGGGAGCAGATTCACCTATGCACCTGCCTAAATCCAATGAAAAAGTGTTTTTTCTTTCCTGCTCTGAGGGAAATAAATTGTTACATTATTGTAACAGAATAGCCTATTTCCTTATATTGCTGTTAATTTTCCTCCAAAGATTACTCTCAAAGATTTCCTTGCAGAGGTGATAGTATCCCATATGTTTTAAATAAATATATGGATAAATTGCAAGCTTCGCTGCTCTTGGTGCTGGAGATAGCATTGGAAGCTGCAGTTCCTGCAGTTCCAGAAAAGACACTGCTCCCTGCAGGAGGGTTAACAGCTGAATAAAACAAATTATTTTTGCTTGGCGGCTGCAAAGGATAGAAAAAGTTCCGAACCCTGTTGGAAAGATTGGGGTTTACACACTTAAGCAGTTCAGGATCAACAACAGGAATAAACATTCAACTTTCAGCAGATTCATATTTTGTTTAAAATACATTTTGGCAGGGTAAGTGAGTGAATAATAACATCAACAAAATATAGACTTTTAGGCTTCAGATAAAATACAAAAATTAAAGACGCGCCCAAGTTTTCAACACCACAGAATATATGCATGCATAACAAACTTTTTTTTTCCTGCTGAAGTGACCTGCAACTGACATGATTTAGAGGACAGAGCTGGAAAGAAGAAACAGGAGCATAATATTTTTGCAGAATCCATATGGATCAGACAATATAAAATAAATATTATTGAAAAGTCACTAATAGATATGAAAGGGGAATTTCCCTCCTCACATGAAGAATACTATTCGCAATAGTTATTTGGAGATATATTAGAAGGCACAATATATTTATTGCCTATAATACAGAAGAGGGAAACAGAGCAATAACTTAGATGTGTGTCTTCATATTACTCTGACATTATCCTGAAATCTTCTAAACTCTACACCACAACAATAATCAGTAAATATTTAAATCTATTTTGTATTTTGAGAACCTAACTTTTTAAAAAAACTTTCCTTACACATCCAATAATATATAGAATATTCTTTATTGGTCAAGTGTGATTGGATACACAAGGGATTTGTCTCCAATGCATAAGCTCTAGTGTACATATAAACAACGAAGTGATAAATCATAAGAATCAATCATAAAACACAAGATACAAACAGCAAAGTGATAAATCATAACATACCAATAGGAAAAGGTAATAAGAAAGATGAGAATGATAATAGTAATACAGCCCTATTACATGGGTAAAAGGGTAAATATTGTCCTACTATATGGGTAAATATAGCTCTACTACATAGGTAAATAGGTACCTATAACGTGGGTAAATATCCTTAGGCATAAGACGGTGCTGTGGGAATTAGGTATTTAGGAATGGGGGGAAATCTATCTATGTGTCTAGTTGTTTTAGCATGCCTATAGAGGCATTCTGAGGGGAGGAGTTGAAACAGTTTATGGAAGGGTTATGAAAATCGAAGTTATTACAGTGAGTCTGTGCTGAATCAAAATTGTTAATATCTTAAACATTACTGAGCTTTCTCTCTTGGATTTCCACTGTTTTAGTATTTAGCTATGGCCAATGTGATTTTGGGAGTTTCATTCTCAACACTCCTGCAGGACACTGGATTCTCGAAAACTGACTAAAGCAAACCAGATTATCTCAAGATGAATTGTGTAATTCAGCTGACAGAACTAAGGAAAGTGACAAAATGCACCTAACTTACACCCTGGATGGGAAGGCAAAACTTCATAGGCTTATAACCCTCTTATAGGACAATAAATCAATTTCCCAAATCAAATCTACTAGATGTGTCAGTTAGCTGACAAAAAGCACTTCTCAGAAAATAGAATTTAAAGTGGCATATGTGTT